CACCCTACCATTCACTATCGACAAGACAAACCGATGGCTTGAATCTACCACCCTTGGCCCGAACCGAGTTCCAGAAGCACAACTTGCTCCAGCGAATCGACAGATCCAAAGACAACAGCAACTGATGATCACACATTTTAGTCTTAATCCGGATTAGTCCACTGCGCCCCCGGTCACAACGAGGAGGCATTCACTGTGGGTAGGGAGAAACAAGGACCTGCCCCCCTCGTTGGGGACGGAGGTGAAAGACGAGCGTAGCTAGTTAGCTGTTACAATCGTGCTTATATGAGGTACATCCTCTTGTTTCAATAAACTGAATGCCTATCCCCCTCGTGTCGTGCGCACCCACCACATAAACGACTCAGTTGCTTGGGCGGCCTCGGGCTCGATTCGTACCTAGCGTTGACAAAGGTCCTCCGGACCAATAGGAGTATGCCCTAAACTTAGTTTTAACTTTTATATATATATATATATGGACCATTGGGATTGACAGTAGTTCTCGGCCACGGACGGCCGCGTTGGTGCAATTTGAAAACATAAGGGTAAGCGCTGGTTTTCTTCAGTTGAGCACAGTAAAACAAAACTCATATCTCTTGTTGTTTTCTCTGCTGCACTGCTGACGGCCATGAATTACCATTGCGTCGAGTCCCTTTTAAGCAGGAACGACGCTCCGGAGAACAAGAAGAGGAGAGGCTACCACTACGGAGGAGTCTGTTAACTCCAGCCCTACCAAACGCATGGACGGATCTCGTCATCATTGAATGGCAACAAGAGGAGGAGGCTACAACCGACAACAACACAAGAGAGAGTGGATCCTCCTACCGGTATCGACCCCTCCAGTGTTACTTCACGAGTGATTTCGTGGTGATTCCTGTGTCGGCACCCATTTTCCTGCATGCACAAGTTCTTGAGCGATTTACCCTTCCGTTTGATAAGGTCCCTTGTAAATTCATTCTTACCTTCAGGTGCACTTCTCAGATGTACGATACTGGCTACGATGGCTGATTGACAATGTTCGATTGTGCATGTATTCGCTAGTAAGGATCCAATGCAAGGTCCGGTAACGGAGTGTAGCCAGTAAAGCGGAACCTGAGTGTTGGTCGTACTGTTGACACTGTCGCCGATGTAACTGTACGTAGCTGGCTACAATGGCTGGATTACAATTTCGGTTTTGTGCATGTAGCTATTGTAATAAGGATCCAATCGAGGTAACCGAGTGAGCGAGCAAAGCGAACCTGAGTGTGTTAGGTACTGTTGCCAGCCTGTTCACCGATTGATGAACTAGTGATTTGTGGTGATTCCTGTGTCGGCACCCATTTTCTGCATGCACAAGTCCTCGAGCGATTTACCCTTCCGTTTGATAAGGTACCTTGTAAATTCATTCTTACCTTCAGGTGCACTTCTCAGATATACGATAGCTGGCTACGATGGCTGGATTGACAATGTTCGGTTGTGCATGTATTCGTCATAAGAATCCAATGCAAGTACCGGTAATGAGTGTAGCCAGTAAAGTGGAACCTGAGTGTGTTCGGTACTGTTGACACTGGCGCCGATGTAACTGTACGGTAGCCGGCTACAATGGCTGGATTAACAATATTCGTTTTGTGCATGTATTTGTCATAAGGATCCAATGCAAGTAACCGAGTGCAGCGAGAAAGCGAACCTGAGTGGTTGGTACTGTTGCCACTGTCACCATTGATGAACTCTTCGGTAGCTAGCTACATGCTGGATTGAACATATGTTCGGTTGTGCATGTATTCGTCATAGGATCCAATGGGAGGTAACCGAGTGCAGAGTCGAACCTGAGTGTGTTCAGTACTGTTGCCACTGTCACCGATCGATGAACTCTACGGTAACTGGCTACGATGGCTGGATTGACAATGTTCGGTTGTGCATGTATTCGTCATAAGGATCCAATGCAAGGTACAGTAACGGAGTGTAGCCAGTAAAGCGGAACCTGAGTGTGTTCGGTACTGTTGCCACTGTCACGGATCGATGCAACTCTCTGCCTACGGTACCGTAGCTGGCTACAATGGCTGGATTGCATGTATTCCTCATATCGATCCAAGTAGTGAGTAAACTGATGAAACAGGAGACGAACGCTGAAAAAAAGCCGAATTTTGTTTCGTCATTTTGTATCTGGTAGGGTTAGAGTTGAAACTGATTGGATCTTTCGAAACTCTTCGAAAACAATCTTTCGCGGACCCGCATTGCCCCTCTCATTGCTCAGCTCGACAAAGAGAAGGGAGCCACTGTAAGCCACAACTAATAAAACCAAAACCCAGAACGTAGAGAACACAATAGCATCAACAACTAGCTACTAAGAATGGTGGAAGTGGAAGAAATCGTGGAAGAGGAGGAAGTGCTTTCTCCCTCGCAAGAGCGTCTATTGGATGCCGAGGAGATTGAAAAGGCGGCGTTGAATTTGACCCGTCCCACGGCACGAATGCAATTGGAGAGTTTGGCCAAAAAGCTGCGCAAGGAAGGAGAAGCACTCAAGCGAGTGGAAGCCAGTCGTGCGGCTGCTCCGCCCAAGGAAGAAAAGAAGACTCTCCCAGCAGCAGAAGAGACCAAGCCAGCAGCACCTCCGAAAACTACTATTCCGGCCAGTCCTCCCGTGGTCATCATCAATAACAACGCACACTTTGTGCCCATTGACAAATTCTCTTTTGATGATGGTGGCTACAGCGGCGCCTGGGTGACTTTGTACATTGACCTTCCAGGCGTTGGATCGACGGTCGACAAGGAAAACATTACGTGCCAATTCACACCCAATTCCTTTGATCTCATTGTCAAGGGATACAAGGGAAAATCCTACCGTCTCTACAAGGACAATCTCGAAAATGAAATTGACGATTTCAAGAGTAAGCGAGTCGTCAAAGCCGACAAAATTCTGGTCAAACTCGCCAAGAAAAAGACCGATTATGGATCCTTTGAAGTGAGTTTATTCATCATAGTGTTTGAAGATTCGTAAAATGCTTTTTGACCCATCCCGTCTCACTTCACTCTCTTTTTTTTCATTGTCGCAACAGCATTGGTCCAGTTTGACGGCCAAGCGAAAGAAACCCGGCAGCAAGGAAAAGGATCCTTCCGCGGGAATCATGGATCTCATGAAGGAAATGTACGATTCCGGCGACGACAAGATGAAAAAGGTCATTGGAGAAACCATGATGAAACAACGAGAGGGAAAGTTGGGGGATGGCATGGGAGGAATGGGTGGTGGTCTAGGCGATATGGATATTTAGGTGGATTGGATTGGATTGCATAATAGGAATGAATGGAGAAAACGCAAAACTAAAATCAACAAAAAAGAGACGGAAGCAAGCAAAATACTACAACAAGAGGATGGTTGCGCGTTGTCGCTTCGTAAACACATGCCTAAAGTGCTGGTTGTTTCGAGAATACCGTATGACAATCACATCTAGCTATCTTAGAGCAATAAACACATAGTGAGCCTCTAGCCAAATGTTTAGCTACTACAGGAACAGCACCAAGGCCAAGGCGGCAAGTGCCAACAGCTCGCATGCACAGTAGGAAGGAGCCGAAGCAAGAAAAATCTATCCAAGCTCAATTGATAGAGCTGATGCCCAGCTTGAAGCCTGTGGGTGGACCAAAGTACTCTTTTTGTACAGGAAGAAGAAGCGTAGATGAAAAGAGCAACAGATGGATGAGCAATCTGAGGCAGCTCACGGGCGCTCAACCATGCCGTTGGCAAGTAGCAAGATAGCGGCCAAGTTGGGATTGTAGGGCCCAAAAGCTGCCCCAAATCTACCCGATGCCCAGCTTGAACAGTAATAATCGTCTCTCAAGTTCATTCAAAAGATCTCCTTACCAAAGTGCTCACCAGACCATACAACGTGGCAAGCTCCAGCTTTGATCCGATCAGAGTGAATTTGCAATGGCAGTTTGCCATCCGTATAGAGATGGTACATGTGCTGGTACAGAACGCCATCAGGCTCACGCAGATCAAGAATCTCAAGATTCGGATGGTTGGCAATCATCTGGGATATGAAGTCACGGTCAAGGAATCCGTTTTCCTCGACTGTTTCTGTTGCGTCGTATCTATAAGATTTGTTATAGGGCGGCACATCGGATCTGAGACGTTTGATGCGCTTGTGGCAAAAGATAGGCAAGGAAACCAGTCGCTGGCCAGCAACACCTAAACAATGTTTAATATCCAGCACCAAGGTCAGGTTTTCTACATCGTTGCAAACTTGTGCGACCGTATTGAGCAACTACAAAACGTTTTGGTTTTTCTCAGGGATTTCCAGACGGAACATGAGTGTTTTCAGGTTGGTGCAATCACATTTGTGGAGTAGCTCTTGGATTCTTGCATCATAAGTTTGATAAAGGTCCAACTGTTTCGACTCGCCGACAAGCAGGGAATCGGGGTGATCCAGCAGTTCCTGAAGCACTGGAGGACGAGGTGCACCGACATCGGAGACCTGAGTGAAGTCACATACGCATGGTTGCAATTCCATGCCGGAATTGGCCGGCCCATCCTTGAGGATCTCGATATCGATTGCCATCTCCCAGTCGGGCTGTTCCAATGCATGCGAAGGTTCCTTAAATCCATTGGAGGCACGATTGAAGTGCACAACGCTCATTTTCCGCCGTTGCAGCGCGAGCACGACTCCTACATTATGGATTGGGTGGGGTGGTATGGGAATTTCTCCGAGGCAGACTTGAAACGAATCAACTATGTGCGTCTGTACTTCCAAGTTGTCACTGTAGCTGACATCACAACGGCATGTGGCACATACATCCGGGAGGAGTTCTGGCATGGCTTTTCCAGTCCTCTGATGCCTCGCACCACCTACTTCAAGAGATTTCAAGATCGACCCAGGGATCCCGGGACTTGGTGGTTGTGGAGGAAAGCCTTATCCCTGTTCGCTCCGAATCTGACGTTGGATGTACCCCTGGGGAGGTGGCTCGTCTCTGCTGACAAGCTCCGGATGCCATCCGCCACAGGTTCTTCTACGAAGTCGATGCCAACGTCGTATCAAAAGTTGACAATAAAGAGTCAGAATTCTGGATGTTCAACATCCAGTCCCGAACAAGGAACAGGACAAGTTCATCGCTGGGGGTTCTGAAGATGAGACCTACCTGATGGCCAGCATCCTACACAACTCGTGCCACTGGATCCCTACTTCCCCCGATCTTGCCATCTGTCCAGCCAGACTTTGGAAAGCGGCGAGTCCTGGTACCTGAACCCTCTTCAACAAGCGTGAACCATGTGGATAGTTGTAGTGGTTTCACACGCAGGCATTCCTGCTCTCCACTACCACCACACCAAACAACATTTGAAGGATTTCCTTGCCACTTTGGAGCCTTGGAAAACAGCCTCTCTATGACGAGCTTGAGTGGATGGATCCTCTCTCTTTTTTTTAGTCCTGCAGATTGTCACTGCCATGCCCTTCTGGGTGTCCAGCGATGGGGCTGCAGTCATTGAAGCCGGTAAGGCGAGTTTTGCTTGGGTTCTGGGCAGACAATCGCGGTCAGATTGTGCTTCGGTGCTCTGGTCCAGTTTTTGGTATGGTTCCGACTTCCTACAGGGCGGAGGCTTACGGCATTCTATCCCCTACTTGCCTTCTTCGACGATTGCTGGAGTTCTACGATCAGACCAGCATGAAGAATTATGTACACTTATGCGACAATGAATCTGTTACAAATAAGTGCGCTAGCTGTCTCGAGTACGAGGGCTGGTACCCCAATGATTCGTTGAACTCCGACTGGGATGTCTTGCAACAGATCGAGGATTCGTTCCGGGCTGCCGTCACAGTGCCCAAGATGGAGCACATCAAATCGCACCAGGACAAGCACAAGGCCATCGAAACACTACCCCTAAAAGCACAACTGAACTGCAGAGCTGACAAACTGGCAGGCAGTTACATGAACAGACACGTGACACAGGATCACTCCAAGGTACTCCGATTTCCGGCAAACCTGGCCCAGCTGCACCTTCCCAAAGGAACATGCACATACAAGCTTCCCAGAACACTGCGGCATCTCAGGAACGACCAGCCCCTGTTCGACCACATTGTCAAACTGAATCCCGACTGGGACGAGGACACCCCTGCACTGGTTGATTGGACAGCCCATGGTCGAGCTGTCAACCGTCACGAGATCCACAAACCGACAATTGTGAAGTTTCTATTTCAATTGTTGCCAGTTGGGAAAAGGATCCACCGGGATTGTTGTGAAACTGTTCTGCATGAGCAGTGCAAACTGTGACTGGGTCCTACTCCCACATCGTACCTGGTATTCGTATCTATCCCATATCGTACCTGGTATTCGTATTTATGTTTTAGCACATGACCTGGTCAGCTGGAGTGCATGACCTGGTCAGCAGGAATTACGCAAGATTAGAATAGGAAAGCTCAGAATCTGAGCTCATAATTGACAAATAGTGAAGGTTGAAAACCAACTAGCTAGAGTCTACAATACAGTATTCAAACAAAAATCCAATATCCAATCCTCCCCCCACCATTGCTTCATAGCCTCCGGTTCCAGCAATGGAAACGAAGGTTTTAGAGTAGGGAGCATGGAGCAAGTGTATCCATGCTGGTTGCTGCTTGAGACCCAATGAAATTTATGGCATCTGTTGGACAGCCTTCCAAAAGCACATTTGCTGATTTTCTGTAAGAGAATTGCTTGCCCTCATCAATGATTGCATTTGCAAATGATTACAGCATGCTTGCTTCTAAAGGCTGAAATGTTGCCAAGCTTCCATGTGCCGCCGCCGTTTATTTGCTTGGGGGATAGAAATCATGTCCTCGGTTTTCTGTTGCTTGCAGTGGATTGGTGGATAGCATTTTCAGTTTGTTGGAATCCAGACCAGAGTGCCAACCCCTTTGGCAACACCTTGTTTCGACTCGACTCACCTTGGAAACACAGCTTTCGGTGTCAATGCGTCGACATTGATGAATCAGTCCTTTCCCCGCCATGCACCACGAGCTAGCTCCCATGTCGCGATGAATGAGAGGCCGCTTTGGGTGAGGTCGATGCCCTCGAGCCTCGAGATCCGCTCTGAACACCATTAGTTCTTTGGTCTCGAATGCTCTAGCAAGACAGCTAGCTAGAGATTCAATCCATTGGCCGGTTGACCTTGCACGTTTTTGTGCTTGTCCTCGCTGTGCAATGAGGTCCCCTTGGGCCAATCTTTTTGCTTGAGAGTCGAGCCTCCAGCCCGTACCGGTAGGCAGCCTGGGGCAATCTCATACCTACATCCGAGGCTCGAACCAATATGTTTGCCCACAGGGCCGGCTTGAAGCTCGGCGAACGAGTTTCTCGTGTTAGCTTCCAAGTTCTGCCTTTCTTGCGTTTGGCTGAAAAGCTGTCTCCTGCAGAGGTTGTGCAGAACTTGCTTTGTACTTGGAATATGCCGTCTTGGAGCTGGAGGGTCGAGTTGGAATGTTTCCAGCTACTAGCTAGCTAGGCAATGGCTTGGAACCGGGAAGGGGCTCTTTGTCTCCATGATTCCCACCTACTAGACCTTCGTGTTCTAGCTGGAGAGGCTAGTTTTGCTTGCTTGCTTCCTTCCCGACCCTGATCTGGCGAGAATTCCCTGGATCGAATTACTACTAGCTAGCTAGAGCTACGCTTTAACTGACATGCAACAGCTAACCAAAGAGCTGCTTGCTAAATCACCACTCATATTTGTGCCAATAACTACTATTACTGTATCGATCCAAAAACCTAGATAGATGAGCTAGCTGATTCGATTCTGAGGTGCTTGTATTGTTGTTGATTGCTTATTGTTTTAAAAATATAAAATTGACTGTCTGCACACTAACACGGTTCCTCCACCTAGGACCTATCCTCCTCTACCAATTACGAAAGTAATTGACTATTAATAACCACATCAAGAGCTGGTACTAGTACTGTACCGTACAATATGTCGGAACATCGAGGTGTTTAATCATCACCCTTATCCTTCTTCTTGGAACTGAGGTTGTGAACAAACGTCTTGTAATCGACCTTTCCACTGCCATCATCCGCTTCTGAAATGAACATGTCAAACTCGGCGGAAGTGAAGGCTTCTCCCAAGTCGCACAGGATATTGCGCAGTTCAGTGGTAGCAATGGTTCCGGTGCCCTCGGCATCGAAACACTCAAAGGATTCGAGAATATCTTGTTCCTTCCACTGAGACTTTTCCTTGAGTGGCTTCTCCATGCATGTCAGAAAGGTAGCAAAGTCAAGTGTGTCCGAGCACTCACCCTTCATCTGCTCAATCTCACTCTCCAGCGGATTCTTGCCCAATCCCCGCATCAGTGTCGCCAAGTCGTCGGTTTGCATCTTCTCCGTCGCCTTGTCCGCAAAAAAGCCAAACACTTCTTTGAATTCTGCCAATTCTTCGTCGCTAAAGGAGGACATGGTGATTGTTGTTATCTGTTATCAAGAATAGTCAACTACAACAAGAGAAGAAACAGAGGAGCCAAAAGATTGGGATACCCTGTTGCTGCTTTGGATGTGGAAGTCGTCGTCGTCTTGGGAAGATCTCATGCATCAAGCATCCAACGCCACGCCAGGCAGCCCCGAGAAAAGACTGGGTCACGGTCATCAAAAGATATCAACTATTTTTATGACGTCTTATTAAGGACTCAACTCAAGCTCATTCACGGGCCATCAAGTTGCCGTTTCTTTAGTCGCAAGAAGCATTGGTTCATGGTTCATGGCTCATGGCGTCTTTGTTTGGCCGAGAGCTGTCCAGACGAGCTGGAACACTGGATAGCAGGTCTAAAGTAAGGTAGCTCGACTTGGATGCTCCGATGGTTAATTCTAGTGTCCAGCCGGCCAAGAAAAATCGTTAGATAACACCCATTTTGCGTTAATTCATCTCAGAAAGGTGACCTCTTACCATTAACTAGTAGACTTCTACGGACCAAAGTGGATCAAGGTTCAAATTCTTGCGTTACTTAATTACAACGACTACTTCAACTACCAAAGATCCGTAGGATCCTACACTGATTCTCACTTTTCGAATTTCAAACAACAACAACAAACAAGTGAGAAATCAACCAACGGCCACTCGCAATATAGATCAATCAGCGAGCACTTACCATACATCAACCTAAGTAAGAGGCATGGCATCCTCCATCAACAGTCAGCTCAACGCCAGAGCATGGTTGGCTTGCAGAGCTTGGCGTTCTTGTCAGCATGACACTCGAGGATGTGTCGACCCATGCAGACCTTGCCAGAAGAATCGCAAATCCATGCATCCTTTCCAGTCCTCTCGCGACAAGTCCTGCACACAGTTGTTACCGAGCTCTTGCATATGATGCACTTCCCTTGCAGTGCATGTGTTGGCTTGTTGGCTTTCTTCTTCTTGGTTGGTGTGGGACCAGTCATTTGGTAGGTTGATGGAAGAGTGTCACCACCAACACCGGCAACAGCTTGCTCATTGGCATGTTCTCTCTCTGTTCTCTTTCGAAGAGCCCTTTCTTCATACGTATTGTCAATCAGTTGCTCTGCAAGGATTTCGACAAAGTCTCGAGGATTCCATTCGAATCCACTCTGGCAACCACGGGCAAGCTCATAAGCATCGACAACACACATGGAGAAGATGGACATGTTGACGCGACGGGACCACTTCTTGGTCTGGACCTTCTTTTCCACTTGAAGTGCCTGTTGGCGAGTTCTGTTGTGCTGATCGATGGTGCCACAAGCAGAGTAGTAGGCATCACATGCCTCTGGCTGTGGAATGGACACTTGCACTCTTTCAGCCGGTACAGTGATGTCGGGATTGGTCTGTCGCCATCGCCATCGATTACATGGGGGACCAGGAGCAGTGGACTTGCATGTAGAAATAAAGTAGCGCCGGTCTCTATCAACCCACACGTAGGCAAGTAGGTCTGTTCCTGTTTCTTCATCTCGAGATGTCACAGCCTTTTGGTCGCCACGACCACTGAGCAGTGGATAGGTCGAGAGGTACTTCATTGGATATCCTTTGGTAGCTGTTTTCACCACTCCAATGAAGCGAAGTCCAGCCTGCTTGAGACGTACAGCTGTTTGGACAGAAGCAAAGTAGCTGTCAGCAACAACTGTTCTGTCAGTATTGGACCAGTACTTCGTCAAGTCGTAGAGGATGTTGCAGCCGTGAGAGTATCTGTGGAATAGAGGAAGAGCGAAGAGGGAATGGTTTAGAACAAACAAAGTCATGAGTAGAGAACAGCGAGCGTGGAACAGCATACCCATTGTTGTCTTCTTTCTGAGCATCGTGTTCTCTTGTGTCTGCATCATCGTCTGTTGCTTTGACAAGCTTCAACTGTAGCATCATTCCATTGACACCATCTGCAGAGTTTTGAATCTCACATCCATCTTCTGGCTTTCTGTCAAGAGCAATGTAATGAGGCAATCCAATGTTGATCCAGCTTCCACCCAATCCATACCACCGACTCATTGACTCGTCCACGCAGATGATCCAAGAGGGAACATAGTACCGACGACGATGGTCATTGAACCTGTCAACGAATCCTTGCACTGGCATCCATCTGTACTCCTGCGATCCCATATCATCTGGCTTTTCGCTTGGCTGATGACTCCAAACCATGTAGCGATTCAAATCTTCAAATCGATTGCGAGTCATTCCAGTTCTTCCAAAGTTGGGTGCAGGAATGTACTTTCTGCAGCTCTGAGTAGACCAAAGGGACTTGCGATCCCCAAATTCAAAGCGAGTGATCAACAGGAGAACACCAAAGTATTTGAGTAGCTCCCCCATTGTTAACTCTTTCTTCTTCTCCTGTCTGAGAATAGAATTGGTCTCCCGGATCATGTAGTCCATCTGTGTCTTAGGAAAACAAGCGAGGAAGAAGTCGTAAGGTGGATGCTTCAACTTGTGGTTGCGTCGGTATTCATCGCAGCCAGGAGTGTACTCTCGACCTGTAAACTGGCATGTCATCTTCCATGAGCGAAAAGGAGTTGGACCATTGCAAGGAATGTCCGTGGGCTTATCCGTGTACCAATCATATCCATGGCTTGATGCGACAGGAGTACGTCGACTGCCAGTTGATGTTCCGGTGCCGACTGATGATGGTGAGGGCTGTTGTTCCGGATTTTCAGGTGAAGAAGTCTGTTCCACGGTGGCACCTTCTTCTTCTGATCCATCGGTCACTGTGGTCACTTCAACTCCATTCGAAGGACTGGTTGCTGTGGATGTCTCAGGTTGTTGTTCAGGGTTCGTTGGTTCCACTGGAGGAGGATTCGAGTTGGCTGCAGCTTGTTCTTGTTCCACGATGGCACCAATTGGATCAAGATCTGGATTTGGATTTGTCGCCTTCAGACTTTGCAGACAGATCCACTGCTCCACAGCTTTGGTTGGGCCCACCTTGTACAGCGCCTTGATGTAGTTGGTTCCTCTCTTGGCATCCGGTGTCTTCTTTCTCAACTCAACCTCTTGCACAACTCCTTTCAACCATGTCTCTCCACAAGCTGAACCAAAAAGGCGTCGTGCATCATGGGTAACATGCTTCGACAGAGCCCAGCACTCGCCACCCACAACCTTGCGGGTGTCGCGGACAACACTAGCCATGTTTCTGTTGATATAATAGCGGCAAAGGGGTGGAAGAGCGGTCGTTTTTCGTCATTGTGGAGCTTTCTGTTCTGCAGAAAAGAAATGAAGAAAAAATCGATCGAGCGAAATTGCCGAGTAAAGCAAGCTTTCATTCCCATCTGTTGCGCCATACTCAAGCGGCCTGGCCTGCACCTTTGTACTACCCAAGGCATAGTTAAATAACGCTAGCAGTTTATCAAGCTATTGGCAATGTATATTATAGATAGAGCGAGATAGTTTATATGGCATTAATTAACGCAGATATCGTTACGTAACGCAGCTGGGCTGCTGGACACTAGCTAGCTACGTGTAGCCCCTGGCGAACAGTGCATGAAGAAAAACAGCAAAGGGTGCAAGATGGAAACATCCCGCTTCCAGATTGGTTGCTAACACTCTCATAAATTGAAGCCGACGAAACTACAACACAAAACAAAAAGTTCTTCAGCAAAACACAAACCATGGCTCCCAGCGAAAAAGTCCAAGTGTGTATCATTGGTGGTGGCCCCACAGGCATCATCTACTTGAAAGAACTGGTGGATGCAGGTGTTACCAGCGTTCGTGTCATTGAAGCAAAGAAGACTTCTGGTGGTCTCTTCCGAGGCTGCTATGAGGATTCCATGCTCACCATCTCCAACTCCTTCATCACATTCTCCAAAATGCACAACATTGATCCCATCCACATGTACACGGAAGAATATGCCGACTACTGTGATGAGTTTGTCGGCAAGTTTGGTCTCTCGAAATACATTTCCTTTGAAACGGTTGCTACCAAGTGTACCTACGATAAAACTCAAAAGATCTGGACGGTTCAATACAAAGGCATTGGAGAGGAAGGGGCTGCTGGAATTGTGGTCGCTGACTACTTGGTAGTGGCATCGGGTGCCCATGCTCCTGTGACCCCACCTACGACTGGTCTACCGGCTTGTGTCAAGCTACCAGGAAGCAATGGCTTGCCCTCCTTTGACGATTTCGAGGGCACCGTGATCCATTCTTCCGAATATGAAACTTCCAGCATCTTTGAGGGCAAGCGAGTTTTGGTTGTTGGATCTGGTGAGTCGGGATCCGACATTGCTATGGCGGCAACCATAAGCAAATCCAAGTCGGTAGCTGTCAGTGTTAGGGGAGTTGCAGGCCACTTGACTCCGCGTCACATTGGGAAAGCGTATCCTGCGGAGACTCGAAAAGTTCAGTCTGGAAATGGCAACTGGTGGCACAAAAATTTTCCTCTGGGGCCTGGTCCACTTCCCGCAGATTTGACCAACTCACTGACAAGATTTGGCAACCCACGATCACAATGGCTCCCTAGCTTTATTCCTGGTCGCATGGCTGCAGCAATGTCACCTTTGGTGCCAGATGAATTCGTTACGGGGAAAATGGCCAGAGCTATGATGGGTACCAACCTCCTTTGTGGTCTGACTGCTATCACTCAGTATGGCACAAAGACAGGTGGGTTGCCACAGGCTATCGATAATGGAGCATCCTTGGTTCCCGGCATTCAGCAAGTCAAATCCAAATCTATTGTCTTTGCTGATGGGTCTGAGCTTGAGATTGATCTCGTTGTGCTTTGCACTGGTTTCAAGACAACTTTTCCATTTCTGGAAGAGGAGTCACCACAAGCCATCAAAGACTTCAATCCGAGGAAGCTCTGGAAGCACATGTTGGACAGTGAATATGGAGACAGGCTTGTCTTTGGAGGGTTTGTCAGGCCGGGTTTTGGGTCCATTCCGCAACTGTCTGAAATGCAAGCCCGTGTGTATGCCCAATTTGTTACTGGCAAGATCTCCCTCCCAGAAGAGAAAGAATTGGCCCATACAATTGCCAGAGATGCAGCCAAAGAAGAAACTTTCTTTATTGCCTCGAAAGACATTAAAGCTCTGACCCACTTTGCTCATTACTCAGCCGACATGGCCTCATTGATTGGCAAGAACATTGATTACCGAAAGCTGCTGGTCACAGAGCCTAAGCTATTTATCCGGCTTGTCACCACACCATACAATGTCAAACGTTTCTATATCGACGATGACGATAAGGACCTGAGGCGTGATGCTCGAAACAGGATCCCTGCTGGGCACCCGGGGACTCTTCTCAAAATGGACATTCATGTTTGGTTCTTGTGTTTTGTCATTACAACCCTTGTAGATGTTCCAATGCTGTCACTGCCTGGAGTAATGCCTCCCACAAGGGAGCAAAGAGTTTGGGCTTGGCTAACTCTCCCGTTCTGGTGGATGCTCTTGGTCCCATCCATCTACGAGTATGCTGTCCTGTGGTTATTTGCGCTCCTGAGCCCCCACACCTGGTTTTACTTCTACAGGACACTGAGTCGTGAGACTGACAGTCGTGCGGGCGATTGGTGTTGGGCTCAATCTGTGTTGGAAGATTGGTACATTCGAAACTTGATCCTGAACCCATTCTCACTCCTTGCTTTTGTGGTGTATGTGGTTGCCAGCGCACCCATCATTCTGGCTACCAAGATTGTAACAAAGTGGGCTTTGAGGGGAGAGTGCTGAGGCTCAAACTGACGCCCCCAGACCAAGACAAAACAAAGCGGAGGAGAACACTGAACTATCTACAAGCGAAGGGTGGAATGCGGTTCATTAGCTGTTGTTATTATTGATGCCCACTGCAATCTTCTTCCCATTGCTTTTGACACTACTCTACCTGCGCCGGCAAATCCCCAATTCCCGTGTCAATAAGCCTCCACGAGGTGGGAAATTCCCGTTCAATATAAGCATGCCCAGGATTGTAGTTAAGGATGGGATAGTAGGTCTGCATTTGATCGTATCGGTCTTCGGGGGCGTAGTACCAACTATTGTGAATGCCCTCTTCATATCCCGGGGCCCTTTCATGCGTGGAATGATAACCTCGCAGTCGATTGATGTATGCCGTAAACGCTGAGAACCAACAACCAAAAAAGGTTCGACTCCGGGATGCAACCAACTGATCCACCATTCCATCAAAATTGGTGTTGAAATCATCGCCAAGGACATCACGAAAGTCATCCAGAAAGACAATGTCATACTTTTCTCGGAGAGGTTGGAAGAAACCCTTTTTGTCGCGTTCTTCAGTCGCAATGTAAATTGTTTGTCCTTCTTGCAATTTGCTCTTGCTCACTTCGTAGATTTGACGAGCATCCACTCGGGTCACTTTGTATTGAAAATCGCCACGACGGATATGAAAGGCATCGTATTCCCCCTTGGGGTTTTGGCCTGCCACAGCGGGATTGTTGCGGGCTCGTTCTCGTAGCGCCTCTATCACTCGTGCCGCAGCACATTGTATCCGATCGACGTACCGGACATGATCCCGCACGAATCGTTTCATATGCAAGTCTTGCTGCCAATCTTCAAAGAATAAAAAGGCATAAAAATGCACCAACAACCGTGCTCCCAATCGGTAATCGGATGGAAAATGAATGAATTGTGTGTTTTGGAGTGTATTGTCGTATAGACACAGTGTTTTCCGTCGCGACCAATTCTCCATCATGCGTTCTTTAGCACTGGCATTGACGGGGACTGGTTTGCCAATGTAGGCGCTAGGCATGGGAAAACTCCCTTCATGTTCTTGTTCCACTTGCTGTTTGATGTCCCACAGTCTTTGCGTTGCCTGCGGATCAGGACTGGTGGGAAATGCAGCCATACATTCTTCTGGTTTCCAAATGGCCACGTGTCCGGTTGTGGAGCGGAGGAATTCCCAGAGTGGTCCTCGTGGTCTTCGTCCGACGCCATTCCAGTCCGTTTGATTTTGTGGTGGAAAGACAACACTACCATTTTGTTGATTGCGTAGATTTCCTGCCATGGCTTCTTGTTCCAGGAATTCCTTCATGGTGATAATGTCTAGACCAGGATGTTCATTGCGAATGGATTCCATGTGAAAAAAGTCATTGAAGGAGAATTGCCGTTGTTGGGAATCTCCATTCTTTCCCTTGCGTGCCCCAAGTAGATAAAACTCTTGTTCTGGTGGCAACACCAGTGTCCGTCCCATTGCATACGCCATGGCTAGGACAGTTTCCATGTTCATCCTGACATTGTTCCTTTATTAGACAGTAAAACAAAAATAATGAACAAAAGCATAAGATACCCAAAGAGAGTTCGATGAGACTACGATCATGCAGTATACCCATGCACGTGTTTCCTCCGGTACCGTAGCTAGTGAGACATAACTTACCAACCCCCTCCATCCGGTTCAAAGGTGAGGTACTGTTTGGGTCCCTCATTCCGTTTTTTGAAGGGAGACACGTAGGTAGCATCGGAGGGTATATCTTCCCAATACACCAGTTCTTGAGCGACCTCTTCAGAGGGACCCCCATAGGCATCACAATTGAGTCCAGCCAATTTGTGTTGCATTTCTTGCTCTTGTTGGACTTTGACGCCACGACCCAAATTGGCCAGGTCGAATACTAGAGCGGTACAGCCAAAGAGGATAATCAGGGGCAAAAAGCAGAGTTTCGCACAGCGACCACTGCCTTTGCAAACATTATGGGAAGTTTTCTTGATATACGGCATGGTTCTATCCCTGCCATACAAGAAGGAAAGGACCGAACGAACAACTGACTGCAGCCGATGGTTTGTGTGGTTTTGATGCCTCGACAGTGCCACCATGATCAATGCGACGACCTACTAGTGTCCAGCAGACCGGCAAAAATCGTTAGATAACACCCAATTTGCGTTAATTCACTTCAGAAAGGTGACCTCTTACCATTAACTAGTAGAATTCTACGGACCAAAGTGGATCAAGGTTCAAATTCTTGCGTTATTTAATTACAACGACTACCATCTCTACCACAAACCAGTAGAATCCTACACAGATTCTCACTTTTCGAATTCAAACAACAAGCAAGTGAGAAAACAAACCAACATCCACTTGCTATATAGATCACTCGTCACATAGATCATGAGCAACGCACTTACCATACAAACAACCTAAACAAGAGGATGGCTTCCTCTATCCAACAGACGCTTCAACGCCAAAGTAGGGTTGGCTTGCAGAGCTTGGCATTCTTGTCAGCATGATGCTCGAGGATGTGTCGCCCCATGCAAAGCTTTCCGGAAGAGTCGCAGATCCACTCGTCTTTCTTTCCTCCCTTTTCACGGCAAGTCCTGCACACAGTTGTTACTGACTTCTTGCATACAATGCACTTGCCCTGAAGTGCGTGTGTTGGCTTGTTGGCCTTCTTCTTCTTCGTGGGAGTGGGTCCTGTCATGTGGTAAGTGGAAGGAAGTGAGTCAATGCCGGCAACACCTTCCTCATTGGCATGTTCTCTCTCTGTCCTCTTTCTGAGAGCTCTTTCCTCATAGGTGTTGTCAATGAGCTGCTCTGCAAGGATCTCCACAAAGTCGCGAGGATTCCATTCAAAGTTTGTCTGGCAACCACGTGCAAGCTCATAGGAATCAACAACACACATTGAGAAGATGGACATGTTGACACGACGCGACCACTTCTTCGTTTGCACCTTCTTTTCCACTTGAAGTGCCTGTTGGCGGGTCCTGTTGTGCTGGTCAATGGTGCCGCATGCAGAGTAGTACTTGTCACAAGCTTCAGGCTGTGGAATGGACACTTGAACTCTTTCAGCCGGTACATTGATATCAGAATCAACCTGTCGCCATCGCCAACGATTACACGGAGGACCAGGAGCAGTAGAGCTGCATGTAGAGATAAAGTAGCGACGGTCCCTGTCAACCCACACATATGCCATTAGGTCAGTTCCTGTTTCTTCATCTCGTGATGTCACTGCCTTCTGGTCACCACTGTTAGCTAGTAAAACTGCAGCTTATTGGGGAGTAATTTGGTTTTGATTAAGCTGTAAAGCAAAAGTGAGGATTTTCTGGTGGTGCATAGCAATTCTTGTGATTGAATTGGATATAAGGACCCCGCAACACATTTAGACCTAAAACTCCCTTGGTTCTTGCATGATGCAATTTACATGCGAACCGACTAGATGATTAATACAACGAGTCAATAGTAAAGAGGTGTCAGGTATGTTTCCTCAACACACCCTGCACGGTGCCAAAGTGGCTACCGTGGAACGAAAAGATAAATTAGGCATCAAACAAGGGGTGGATGCCCCATGATGAAAGCCCTGTGCTCGTTGAAAGAGCTTGCCCTGAAGGGGCTTTGTGAAAAAATCTCCACGCATTTCCAAGGTTGGGCAGTACACAAATCTAAGGTTGCCTTTTCCATTTGGTCATGAAAAAAAAAGAAACGAATGTTTATAGCCCGAGTTCTTTTGCCCGAACCGCCTTGCCATTCTCTGCAAGAATGATCGTGCTTTTGTTGTCCTGCGATGAGGATCGTTGTGTCTTCACAACGATCCCCTGCTCTTCAAGGAACAACTTTGGCCCACAAACATGGGCGACATGACATCGTCAGCTCCAATAATTCCGCTTCCGTGCTGCTCCTCGAATTTCAATTTCTGTTTCGCGGATACAGAAGAGCACGCGCTCCTCTTCCAAGGAAATGACTCCTCCTGTATGGGAACGGTAATCAGGATGGACTGCAAATGATGCGTCCAACACCAAAGATGATGATGCGTATGTCATCAATGTGTAGGATAAGCTTGTCCTGCGCCGTCTGATCCAAAAACTTGAGGCCTTGGACCAACTTTTCCCAATCATCAGATGTAGGGCTTCTGACACGAGTGCATAACACAGTAGTGAGAGTCTGCACATTTGGTCGAGCACGCTTGCACAGAAACAACAGCTTGGCTGCAAAGGTATGATTCGGTTTCTCTGTTCTTGTCATTCAGGATGGTGCCATCACAGAGCTGAATAAGTCACTATCGCCTGTCACCTTCTCCAAGATGAGAACGAAGAACCACTACTGTTTGAGACAGAGACAAGCAAACATCTAGCTTTGTTCATGGACTCCTGTAATCACAGGAGTGCCACAAGAAGTCAAGGATGAGAGCAGCCAGCCCAACAACATCTTTACCCAAGGGTCTGAAATGTGGGGCAACAAAGCCAGAAAGGCGGCGCTCAAAGAGATGGACCAGTTACACAGCAGAGTGTGTTTCAGTCCAGTCGACCCAAACAAATGCAGTGATTCTGAATTGAAAAGGCACAAATGGCACATGTTTGTGAGTGAGAAAGAGGATGGCACGGTCAAGGCCCGTGCGTCTACAATGGGAAACCTTCAAGGGTGTACCATCAGAAAGAAGATTCCAGAAGCCCAACAGTTCATTGAGGGTTTGATGTTTTCATGTGTGTCGATGCATCTAAGATAGGGATTGATGTCCCTGTATGTTCCCAATGCGTTCATCCAAAACCCAATGCCAGAAGTCAAACAAGTGAAGACAGGGTCCTCATTATCATTGAGGGAACCCTTGCAGACTTACTTGTCGAAATTGATCCTGACAAATATGCCTCTTTCCTGACATACAAAGAAGGGACGACCAGTCCTCTATTCGTTGTGGAAAGAGCCATCTACGGAATGGTTTTTGCAGCATTGCTCTGGTACAAGCTCTTCAGGAGCGATCTCGAAAAATTGGATTTGTGTTCAACAAAACGATCCTTGTGTGGCCAACCGCATGATCGAGAGGGTACCAACAAACAATCCGATTTCATGTTGACGAACCTAATGTCAAGCCACAGAATGAAGTTGGTGAACAACCAAACTCTGGAAGGTTTAACACAGGTATGGAACCTATTGGAGCCGTAAGGCAACCCTGGGTCCCAAGCATGACTACTTGGGATGACGGTGATTTTTCCAACCAGGAAAGGTTGTGATTGACATGATAGATTATGTCAAGAAAATGTCTCAGAGTTCCAGTGGACTTTGGGGCAATGAAGAAGGTACCAAGTGCAGCTCCTGCTTACC